CCGCAGATCGCGATCGCGGCTTTTTTGTTTTTTTTTTTGTTCTGCTTGGGACGGCCCAAACCCTGGGTGTTTGTGCAGCACACCGACCCCAGTCCCCATGGAACACGTCCCTAGACGTGCTGGGCCCAGGAGAGAACAGCGTGAGCGGCAGTGGCACTGTCAGGAGAGATGACCCATGTGACTGTCAGGAGGACATGAGCAGCCCTGCAGGGCTCTTGAGGTCAATGGGGATGCCCAGGGGCGGAACCAGGAAGTGGCCCTGGCGTGTTGCTATTTGTCCGGTTCAGCCTGGTCCGGGTGACCTGGGAACGAACGCAGAGAGAACACGCAGCCCTGCAGTCCATCAGCTGGGGAGTTTCACTTCACAGACGCGGCTGCCTGCGTCGCGCTCCCCTGCCCCCAGCTACGCTGCACGATGCTGCGATCTGGGCCAGGGGCTGTATTTCTGGACAGCACCTTTAACCCTTGCAGCAGCGTTGGGGGGGGGGGGGGGGAGGAAACAGTCCTATGGGAAACCGCTAGCAAGGGGCACTAGACACATAACAGCCTGCTGGTCCCATGATCCTCCACTGCTCCTTGGGCATTTTCCATTTCAGGGCTCAGATCCCGTCCCTCTCCTAGGCAGGCCGCAGTGCTGCTCAAAGGGCTGGAAGGCATCCAGTTGTGTCACGGGGAGACTGCTCGCCCTCTAGCAGACTCCTGGCCAGGTTCCCAGGGTGGAAACCCAGAGCGACCCCATGCACGGCACTGTGCTCATTCCTGATTTACTCCGCTGGAACAGAGGGCAGAATCCGGCTCAGTCTGACCAGCTGCGGGGAGATCCTGCAGCAGGGCCCCTCAGGAGCATTGGGGCAGAGGGTGGAGAGCAGCTGGTTCGTCTCAAGCCAGACTGATGTTCTGCGCCGCCGGTGTGTGGTTTTGCTGACTGGAAAACTGTTGTTTTCAGAACTCAGCTCTCCCAGCCTGGTGCTTCTTAGACCCGGCCAGATCTCCTCCCAGGGACATACACAGGTCCATGGACCCACACGCACCAGCAGATACACATCCACCCCCTACCGCTTCCCTTCCCAGTCGTTCCCATGTCCAACAACCCCATGCCAGCCTCCCTCTGCTGGGTTATGTGTCCCGCAGCCGCAGACTTGTAGCTCACTGGGACCGGGGTCCCAGTGGGGGGCAGCTGAGCTCACTCAATTAGGGTGAACTGCAAAGAATGGGGCAGATAATCCCCAAAGCTGGTGGGTATTTTCAATACTTAGATTTACCAAGCCATCACTAAACAGCTTCTTTATTATCTCACGGGTTGCCCAGAGGCCAACAACATAGTTCCCTTGAAGTAATCCAGCCTCCGGCCTCTATCCAGGTACCCAAGTCAAATATGATGAAGATTTCTGAAAATCTTATTTCATCATATAAAAGAAATGTTTCTACCAATCCCAAAGGATCGGACATATCACCTCCCAGGTTAATGAATATTCCAGATTTTGCCCAAATACCCGCTTAAAGCCAATGATTATTAACTAAACTAAAATTTATTAAAAAAAGAAAAAAGAGAGAGTATGGTTAAAAGATCAATATACCTACAGCCATGAGTTCAATTCTTGAGGTTCAGATTCATAGCAGAGATGGTGAGCTTTGTAGTCGCAAAGAGTTATTTTAGAATTAGTCCATAGGTTAGAGTCCAATGTCCAATATCATATCCAGGGTGTACCAGCCGAACTGGGACCTCATCTTGTGACTCACACTTCCCCTGGTGAAGCGTAAGCAGATCTGAGATAAAAAGGATCAGCACCCAAGGATCTTTTATACAATTTCAGGTCTTCTTTGACAAGTTGGAGTCCCTCAGGGAACAATAGGCCCTTATTTCCTAAGCATCGTTGTTAACTATTCACACGGATGAACATAAGGCAATTTACCCATTAGGCCGTCTATCACTGGTACTTAGCTATACGAATTAACATAAGGCAACTGCCTGCTCTTCCACCATATTCACAGATGATTTGCTCAACATTTCAAAGAGAGCTGAATCCAGCGATATCCCGGGTTTACGATTCATGTAAATGCTAGGCTGCTCTTTTGATCTCTGAATGATCAGAATACAGCATAGACAGGGCCTGTTGATTACATTGTTGACCATTACCCATCTCCCCACATGTCTTCAAGGGTTGAATTTGAGTCATTTATTCAGCAGGATGTTTAATCCTTTCTGGCCACGCATCACACTCACACTTGCCTCTCCATTCTCTGGAGAGGGTGGGTCACTTCCATGTGGCCAGGATGGCTCATCTACCCTGACCTGTTATTTCTGCCATCGGCTGCCTTTGACTGTATCCCACGGACATTCCGCCATGTGATCTCCTGGGGGGCCGGGTGTATATAAATACTCTCTTCCCACAGCACCGCTGCTGACTGCGGGGGGAATTCCAAGAAGAAGCCCACCCAGATGGAAAATGAAATAGGAGGAACAGACGTCTCTTGGGATGAGAGAACACACTCAGTGAGACGCACGGTTCAGACAGAGGTGGATACTTGCTGCACAAATGGAAAATTAAAGACTTGTGTGTGTGGCTGTGGTCACCCAGAACAGAGCATGGCCCATAGAACAGCTCAGTGCCCAATTCACAGATAGGAAGGAGGCTTCACAGCGATACACTCCACTACTCCAGACACAATTCTCTGGCTTACCCTTCCAGCGTAACATTATACTGTTGCTCTGCATTGACATCAGCTGCACAGGTGCGCCTCACACACTCGCCCACACACTCGCTTGCACTGGGATTTGCAGGGCTCGTGGTTCCGTGTGCAGACTGGGCCCCATTTTGCTACTTCCTGGTGCTCTCAGCCAAGACCTCCAGGATCTCCGGGGGATGAGAATCCAGCCCAGAGCAGGAAGAAATACATTGCCACTAATCTTGGAGTAGCCAAAGTGTGAGCCACATGGTTCCACAATGCTGCCTGTAGCCTCTGGCCAACAGAGCAGCCAGTGTTGGTTAACACAGGTTCCACATGCTAACGATGCACCTTTAAATCAAACTTTTACATTTAGGGCATGTCTACACTACAGCCGTGCAGGTACAGCGATTCAGGTACAACCGTGCAGGTACAGCCTTGCTGCTGTGCTGCTGTGGTGTAGACACTTCCTACATCAATGCAAGGGCTTTTTGTGTGTGTACTTAATCCACCTCTCCCAGAGGCAGTAGCTAGGGCTATGTCTACACTAGCACTTTGGTCGGTCAGGGGTGTGAAACAACCAGGGATCCCCTGGGTCGGTTTGGGGGCTGGGAGGGATTCCTAGTCTCGGTTTGGGGGGGCTGGGAGGGATCCCCTGGATCAGTTGGGGGGGCTGGGAGGGATCCCTAGTCTTGGTTTGGGGGGCTGGGAGGGATCTCCTGGGTCGGTTTGGGGGGCTGGGAGGGATCCCTAGTCTTGGTTTGGGGGGCTGGGAGGGATCCCCTGGGTCGGTTTGGGGGGGGCTGGGAGGGATCCCCTGGATTAGTTAGGGGCGGCGCGGAGGGAGGGGGGCTCGATCCCCGGGGTCGGCTCCATCCACCCCAGTTGGTAACATTGTTTCCATCGGACACATTGCTCCCTCGGGGGCGTGGCCGGCCGCTGATTGGCTGCCGGGAGCGCCGCCCCCCAGCTGGCCGGGCGCGGGTTGGCGGAAGCCGCCGGGCCGGGAGCTGGATCCGGCCATGGCGCTCGCCGCGCTCCTGCTGCTGCTGCTGGCGGCCGCCCCGGCCCCAGCCCCGGCCCCGGCCCCGGCCCGGGCCCCGCGGGCGGCCGACGCGCGGCAGGAGGCGGCGGTGCGGGAGCTGCTGCAGCGGCTGCTGGGGCCCCGGGCGGCCGCCGGCTTCGCCGTCTCGGTGAACCGCTCGCTGGCGGCCGGCGGGCTGGACACCTACCGGCTCAGCTCCCCGCCCGGGGCCCAGGAGCGGGTGCGGGTGGCCGGGTCCAGCGGGGTGGCCGCCGCCGCCGGCATCTACCGCTACCTGCGGGAGCTCTGCGGCTGCCACGTGTCCTGGTCCGGGGCGCAGCTGCGGCTGCCGGACCCGCTGCCCGCGGTGCCCGGGGTGATCAGCGCCACCAGCCCCAACAGGTAACCCGGGCCCCCGGCCTGCGCCCCCACCCCGCGGGCCCCTGCCCCTGGAGCCCCGGGCCCCCGGCCTGCCCGCCCCCCGGAGCCCCGAGCCCCAGGCCCGCCCCCCTGCGGGCCCCTGCCCCTGGAGCCCCCTGCCCCGGGCCCCCGGCCTGCCCGCCCCCGGAACCCTGCCCCTGGACGCCCCGGCCCCCGCCCCGGGCGTCCCAGGCCTGGGCAGAAGCCGGAATATGGAGTCGCTGCCATGCCGCGCCCGGCCCTGCCCCGCCCCGGGCTGTAGCCTGCGGGGCTCTCCCGGTGCAGGGCCCGGCTGGCTCAGGCAGACCCCGTTCCTGGGGGGAGTCGCTGCTTCCCCCAGAGGCAGAGGCCGGTGACAGGGCGCCCTGGTGCCCTGCGGGAGCCGGTGCCTGGTGCAGTGATCGGAGCTGACCGGCCCCTGCTCTCCTGCAGGCAGACCTGGGCCAGGAACGGTCCATGGAGTCCCATCCCTCGGGCTGGGCCCTGAATTCCCAGAGCCTGGGGAGGGGGAGGGTCTGACGGGGGCTGGGGGTGCTCGGGGCACAGCAGAAGGCAGAGGGATGCTTCTGGCCTTGCCTTCGTGCACGTGGGGCCTGGGCAGCGAGGTGCAATGCCAGGCTCATGCACGCTGTCCACTGCCAACTCTGCTGGGGGGGGCAGATGTGGGGGGCTTCCCCCTGGCATGGAACCGCGCCTGGGAAGCAAGCGCTGAGAGTGGCATGTGCTGAGGGGTCCCTTGTTCTGCGTCTGTTGCACATGCTGGGGTGACTGGGGCAGGCGGGGACCCAGGGGTGCTGTTACTTCAGAAAACATCTCTTGCCCGTTTGCTTCCTGTGACGGAGCAGGGAGCGGGCGGATTTGACCTGGGAATGTTGCAGGGGGGTTACACTGGGGATGGGGGACTTCCCTTGAAGGAAGCTACCTGAGCTGTAACCTGAGCCAGGAGGGCGGTGGGAGAGGTGACACCTTCTGCCCGGGAGACTGAACAAAGGAGAGGAGGCGCAGAGGGGATCAGGGAGAGAGCTGCTGGAGGAGGTTTTGTTTTCAGTCTTGGGCTGGGTGGAGGAACGCAGGGAACCCCAAGCTGGGGTCTAAGCTCCCTAAACCCCCCAGAAGGACTTGATTGAGGGGTCCCGGTTGTACCTACACGCTCTGCTTGGGACTGTGTTCCTGTCATCTAATAACCCTTCCGTTTTACTGGCTGGCTGAGAGTCACGGTGAATCTCAGGAAGAGGGGTGCAGGGTCCTGACTCCCCCCTTTCCAAGCCCTGGGGCTGAGAACTCCCCAGCCCTTCCTGCCCTTGAATTCCATGTAACAAGCCTCCCCCCCAACCTGGCACAGCTGGAGATGCCATGGACAGGTTTGGTTCATTTACCACCAGTCTGGGTCTGCCAGGGCCTGGGCATGTTTCTGCAGCTGGGGGCCTCTCTCACCCCCTGCGTCTGTCCTGAATGTTGGCCCTACCTGGAATTTAGACGTCATGGGCCAAGTGTGTGGCTGGTGCAAGGGAGTGGAGTTAATGGCTCTTACACCAGGGATGTCCTTGGTCCTGTATCACTGGACCCCGGGTGCGAGAATGATGGGTGTCTGGCTCTAGCATCTGTTCTGCTCACTGCAGCTGCTCTGGGGTGGGCCCGGGACGGGACCAGCGGATTCTGCTGCAGAAAGGGCACTTCCCCATTTGACAGGAAGCTTCCCAGGCAAGAGGAAGCGTCTCCCTGTCCTGGAGCGGCCCCCACGCTGACTGAGAGTCGCTTGGATCCTTGCTGTGCTGCTCGTATGCACTAGTGCCCTTGGCTGGGTCCCGAACACGCCATGCTCACACCAGCCAAGAGCAAGCCAATGAGCTCCGCCACTGGGGCTCCTTAGGGGACCCTTCCCTTGGCGTGTAAGTTGACAAAGGTCCTGGCAGGTGCATAGGGGCTGCGTGGCTTGGTTGGTTTTGCCACAGGAAAGCGAAGGAAGAATCCTGGAGCCGAGGGGTTGCACGTGCAGGTCCTTGGACACCAATCGTCTTCCCACACAGCCGCCCTGGCGCTCGGCCTGTGATCTGGCGCGGCTAGCCGGGAAGCTTTGCTTAGTGCTCCTTCAGCTGGAAGGCGAAGCCCTGCAGCGTTTCCCACTAGCTGCCGAGCTGGATCCAGGCGAGCTGCTCGGGGAAGGGGCTTGGCGTGGTTCATCACCGTACAGTCAAGCAACCCGTGAAATCTTGTGACTCACACTTGAGATCAGCTGGAAACTTCCTCCAAGCCGCAAGAACAGCAGGGGGACAAAGGGGAACTGTTCATGTAAAGATATTGCCTTACCGTCGAGCGCTGCAGGAGGTCTCGGCGCCTGGTCCTTGCTGTCCTGTGTGCTGCTTGCACTTCATTAGTCTTGGACAATGACCGTTCCTCTCTGTCTAATGTGGAGGATGGGCCCTTCGGGTTGTTGCAAGCCGGGTCAGTTTCCCTGCTAGGCTTGGCATGACCTGTAGGTGTTTGAGCTGCAAAACACACAGGGGGACGTTGAAATCGGCCCAAAAAACTGTCTCAATTGGAAAAACCAAGTCCCCGTGTGTAGCATTAGGGGTATAACGTTTGCCCCCGTGGGAAGAGGCTGCCTGAGTTAATTCTCCAGCATCCACAGGGCCAGCGCTGGCCGGGAGCAGACAAGACGCCTGGAGGCACGTTAAGCTCCATTGCGAGGAGCTGCCTGCGTCCCGATTTCTTTCAGTCGCGCCAACCTGGCTGTGGTCTCCCGGGGTGGGGTCAGGAGTCTGGCGTTTTCTCTGAAGCATCTGTTCTCTCCGCTCCCAGGTACCGCTACTACCAGAACGTCTGCACCCAGAGTTACTCCTACGTGTGGTGGGACTGGCCTCGCTGGGAGAGAGAGATCGACTGGATGGCGCTCAACGGCATCAACCTGGCGCTGGCGTTTACTGGGCAGGAGGCTGTGTGGCAGCGGGTTGAGTATTTGATTGGTGTCTCTCGTGAAGCCGTGTTGCATGCGGGGCCCGGCTGGGGCTTTTCAGGAGATTGGGGAGACACGTTAAATGTATTGTCCTGGGACAGCACAGAACAGGTCGCTCTGGAGGGAGGGCTGCCGTCCGGGGGGTGACCCAGCCCCTCGATTGACTAACATTGGCAGGCTGGGGGGCAGCAGCTGTCTCTGTTCAGTGTGGCCAGGTAGAACAGCTGTGTCGGCTGAGCCGGGGCTGCAAAGGCTGGGCTTGGCCAGAGGGGAGCGTTCCCGGCACTGGGCACGTCCGGGCCGAACGCGCCCTGCGGAGTTGGGTGAGCGTCCTGCTCAGCAGGGCAGGGTCTCCCTGTCGGCAGCAGCTGGGACCCACAGGAGGGAGCTGCTGACGTTGCTGCCTGTGTTCTTCCCCTCGTTCGCTCCAGGTGTATCTGTCCCTGGGCCTGAACCAGTCTGAAATAGACGAGTACGTCACCGGGCCTGCCTTCCTCGCCTGGAACCGCATGGGGAACCTGCACACCTGGGCAGGGCCCTTGCCCCTGTCCTGGAACCTAAAGCAGCTGTATTTGCAGGTACCTGTGCTTGGCTCATGGCTGGGGCCGGGTCTGTGAGCACCCAGCCTGCATGTTGTGGAGACGCCCCCCCGACAGCGCTCCCTGCCGAGCTCCCAAACACTGCCGAGCTCAGCGGGCAATGCCAGAGAAGCACCTGGGAGCCAGGGGTGTGGTGCCGCCCTGCTGCCCACAGGATGCAGGGGCCGTGGATCAGCTCCCAGGGGAAGGGCCCTAGGTAACGCTCTGAGACCCTGAACTGATCTGAGTATTGTCTCCATCAGTCCCTCTGCCTGAGAGCCGCTCCTGTGCTGAGCTTCAAGCCGGGCGGCTTTTCCCCTCTGTCTGGTGCCCGTGGGCTCGGAGCTGTGTTCAGGGCTCTGACCGGGGGCTGGAGACTCCAGACGGATACGCTCACGTGGCGCAGGCCTGTCCCTGAGATGGGTGGTGCAGCCCCCTGCGTCTCCCGGCCCATGCGCCCCCTTTATCCGGCTTTTCCTCCTTTCTCCCAGTACAGGATCCTGGAGAGGATGCGGTCATTGGGAATGATCCCGGTGCTGCCGGCGTTTGCGGGGCACGTCCCCAGGGGCGTCTTGAGGTAGATGCAGATCTGATGTGAGCGCGTCAGGGTTGGGGCTTGGGCAAGACCAGATCTCCCTGATGGGCGTCTCTCCCCACCGAATGTGACTCAGCCACATGTGCGTGGGAGCAGCAGAGACCCATGGGACTGTCCCCGGGCGTGCCCCCACGTGTAGAGCTCTGCAGTGCTGGGCGGGTTGGGGGAGCCCTACCCCCCCCTCTGACTCCTGGCTGCTGGTCTGTGCCGTAGGGCTTTCCCTCGAATAAACGTCACTCGACTTGGGAGCTGGAGCAACTTCGACTGCACCTACTCGTGTGCCTACCTCCTGGACCCCGGAGACCCCATGTTCCAAGTGATCGGGACCCTCTTCCTGAAGGAGCTGATCAGAGAGTTCGGCACGGATCACGTCTACAACGCGGACACCTTCAATGAGATGAGCCCCCTGTCCTCCGACCCTGCCTACCTCTCGGGGGTCAGCGCTGCCGTCTTCAGGTCCATGACCGGAGGTAGGACCCGAGCAGGAACCCAGGCTCCTCCTAAAGGGGCTCTGCCTTGGGGAGCCTTCGCTGCGCAGTCCGGCCTGGGCCTGTGCAGCGAAGGGCTTGGACGGCTCAGGGATGGGGAGCCGGGAACCTTTGGGTCAAGGCTGGTCTGGATTCCTCCCAGCCGGGGCTGCAGCTCCGACCGTCCCCAGGCTGCGCTGGCTCGGTGGCCCAGCTGGTACGCATTGGTCATTTCAGGGCGGTGGATGGGTGGCCAGTTGCGAGGCTCTGGCAGCCTCCGCAGAGGAGGGGCGTGGTGAGGGCTCTGCAGGGCAGGGGCATTAGCGAGACCAGGAGGGCAGTGCACGGGGGAGCCTGCCTGGGCTGTATGGCTCTGGGCACTGCGGCCACCAGGCCAAGCCCTTTCACACAGGGAGCTCCAGGGGTCGGCAGGGAGGCGGACGCCCTGGGCTGGCACGGCTCAGAGCCAAAGGGCTTTATAGGGAGTGACGGGGGTGGGCGGCTCTGTCGTGGGAGGGCAGTGCGTCTTATGTCACTAGCGGCTCTGTGTGTGTCTGTCCCCAGCCGACCCCGACGCGCTCTGGCTCATGCAGGGATGGCTCTTCCAGAACCAGCCTGACTTCTGGCAGCCGGCCCAGGTGCGGGCCCTGCTGCGCGGCGTCCCCAGCGGCAGGATGATCGTGCTGGATCTCTTTGCGGAGTCCAAGCCCGTGTACCAGCGGACAGAGTCCTTCTACGGGCAGCCCTTCATCTGGTGCATGCTGCACAACTTCGGCGGCAACCACGGCCTCTTCGGCACGGTGGAGAGCATCAACCGGGGGCCCTTCGACGCCCGGCGCTTCCCCAACTCCAGCCTGGTGGGCACCGGCCTGGCCCCAGAGGGCATCGAGCAGAACGACATGGTCTATGAGCTGATGAGCGAGCTGGGCTGGCGCCAGGAGCCGCTTGACCTCCAGCAGTGGGTTGCCAACTACGCCCAGCGGCGCTACGGCGCCAGGAACGCGGAGGCCGCCGGCGCCTGGCAGCTGCTGCTCCGCAGCGTCTACAACTGCTCGGGGATCTGCGTCAACCACAACCACAGCCCGCTGGTGCGCCGGCCGTCCCTGCGCATGGCCACGGAGCTGTGGTACAACAAGAGCGACGTCTACGAGGCCTGGCGCCTGCTGCTGGACGCCGCTGCCGAGCTGGGGGCCAGCCCCACCTTCCGCTACGACCTGGTGGATGTGACCCGGCAGGCCGCGCAGCAGCTGGTGAGCGAGTACTACCTGGAGATCAAGCAGGCCTTTCAGAGCCGCTCGCTGCCGGAGCTGCTGACTGCCGGCGGGGTGCTGCTGTACGACCTGCTCCCGGAGCTGGACGCCCTCCTGGCCAGTGACCCCCACTTCCTGCTGGGCCGCTGGCTGGAGCAGGCTCGGGCCACAGCCACCAGTGACAAGGAAGCCGAGCTATACGACCTGAACGCCCGCAACCAGGTGACGCTGTGGGGACCCAGCGGCAACATCTTGGACTACGCCAACAAGCAGCTTGGGGGACTGGTGCTGGACTATTACCGGGTGCGCTGGAGCCTCTTTGTCTCGGCGCTGGTGGAGAGCCTGAACACCGGCACCCCCTTCCACCAGGAGCAGTTCAACCAGGCCGTCTTCCAGCTGGAGAGGGGTTTCGTCTACAACGGCAAGCGCTACCCCTCCCAGCCCGCTGGCGACACGCTGGAGATCGCCAGGAAGATCTTCCTCAAGTATTATCCCCACGCCATGCGGCGCGGCCGGGCAGGGGCTGCGTGAGGGTCGGCGGCTCTGGGACTTTCCGGGGATGGGAGTGGCGTCTCTGCGGCTGGCCCGGTCTCTCCCACTCCGGAGATGCTGGTGTCCCCAGCTTCTGTCCCCCCTCCCAAGCCTCTGCCAGAGCCTGAACCAAGGCCCTGGACCCAAAGGGAAACCGAGCAGGAGCCTTGTGCTGCGTGTGAGCGATGCCGCCGCTTGGGCGGGAGCAGGTCCGGGCTGGACCTGCCAGTGCAGCGCAGCGAGCTGGGGAATGAGCTCCCGGGGAACGGGCTGGAGGGACTGATCCTGCACTGGCCTCGGGGCGCTGGGATGCTCTGAGGAGGGAATCGCTTCGGAACAGGCTGAGGGGCAGGAAATGCAGCGGGACCCTCCCAAGCTCTCGGCCCGGGGAGGGGAGTGTTAACACGCTGCTATTCTGGGCGCTAAAGAACAAAAAAGGAGGTCGCAAAGCTCCAATCCTGCTGCTTTGATGCCGTTGCAAAGTGCACGTTGCAGCCGGCTCCCTGCGTATCGCAATTGCAGCCGGCTCCCTGCGTATCGCACCCCTGGCCAGGGCTAGGAGGAGACGCTGCCTCGCCCGCACCTCCCATCTGTCCCTGGCTAGGGGGTGCTGCCTCAACTTCTCCTGTTCCCCCGAAACTGCCTCCCAGCCCCTGAGTGTTGGAGCAGTTCCAAGGGCTGTCCCCACGCTTCTCCCCACATGCTCTCTCTGCTGGTCTCAAATGGGGGCAGATCTGCCCCAGAACAGCGGCTCGCCCACGTGGGGTTATTCCTAGTGCCAGGACCTGTCCGGCTGGGGGCCGGCTCCCCACTCCGAACCCCTGGGTGCCTTTGTACTAAACAAAAACAGACTTTGGGGATATATTTTTACGAGGACAGTTATATTTTTACACCAGGGACCCCCCCCACTCCTCCTCCTCCCAGAGTGCTCTTCTGGGCCTTGCCCCCTTCCCGCACCAGCACGTGAGCTCCCAAGCCGAGCTGGCATGTGTCTGAATTCCAGTTGCTGCCATCCTCTCTGGAGAGCGAGGGCTGCCGCCGGAGCACGGGGCTGGGCTGCAGTGGGACTGTCTCTCTTTTAGCCGAATGATTTTTATACACTTGTGTACGTTGGCAGCACTTTCCAATTAAAGACCTGGAATCCCTTCATTCCGCGCCTGGGGTGTCTCTTCCCCACCCCCTCCCGGCGTTCTTAGCAGAGGGCGACGTGGCTCTTGGCGCCGTGCGCAGCGGGGCAGGGAGAGCGGCAGCTGTGAATCAGAGCAGGTCTCTGAGAACAGCCAGGGGCTGGCGTTCACAGCTGAAGCAGTCACAACACGGCCGGCCGCGTCCCGGACAGGCTGTCTGCAGCCAGCCGGCTGTTCTGATGCTGCGGGACACAGCTCTGCCCTCCGAGCCCGGGGGGCTCCATGCTGGTGGAGTTTGGCTGGAGGTGTCTGGCCAAGGTACCCTTTTGTGGGTCTTAAATGAGCCACTGCAGGGGCCTGGCTTTGGATGCCCCTGGACCAGTCGCTCCCTCCCTCCAGTTAGGTCCCAGAAGCCTGGAGAAAGGTTTGACGTTCCCCATCTGTAGAAAGGGGACCAATGACGCGCCAGGGCACTATAGGCCAGTCAGCCCAACTTCGATCCCTGGAAAGGGACTGGAACCAAATGACTAAACAATGCATGTGTCAGCACCCCGTGGATGACGAGGGCTAGCCAGCCTGGATTTGCCAAACCAGCTGAATTTCCTTTGGCAGGGGCAGTGGCCGAGGGAAGCAGCAGCTGGGCTTTGGTGGCTCCAGGGGGAGGAGTGGAAGCTCCTTTGCTGGGGCGCCGGCGTCAGTGGGGGCTTGGATGAAACGGTGGCGAGCGCACAGGGAGCGATCCTGCGCTGGCCCTGCCCCTTGGGGAAGGATCAGGCTGAGCCCAGGGGTCTCTGCTGGCCCCAATTCCTACCTATCAACCCCGCACCCCACTGCCCACCATGGCCCCCTGAGGCTGCCACAGCCCTAAGCCCGTGTCCTGGGCTGGGGTGAGGCCATTTGTCACCTCCTGCAAACAGGCTGCCCCTGCCCCACCACGCCCCTCCCCGCTCCGCGCCTCAGCCATGGCCTCTCTGCTGGAATCTTATCTCCCCGGGTGCGAGTGCGGAGAGTGAAGGAAAAGGGAAGCTCTGCCGAGGGTGGAGGAGGGACGGGGAAGAGCCCAGCCTTGAGATAAGAAAGTAGACAAAATAGCGGAGCCCACAGCCCCTCGGCTGCCTCCAGGCACCAGGAGTTGCAGCTGCGTTGGATGCTCTGTCTCCGGGCCGGAGCCAGCGATGGAGAAGACCGTGGTGCTCATTACAGGCTGTTCCTCGGGGATCGGCCTGGGGCTGGCCGTGCGCCTGGCCTCGGACGCCTCCCGCAGGTTTAAAGGTACTGCCAGGGCTTGTGCGGCCGCGAGCGGGAGCTGGTCCTGACCCAGCGGCTGGTGCACTCCAGTGCAATGGGCGAACGAGGGGCTGTTCCTTAGCTGGGGAGGAGCTGGGCTCTGCAGCCCCAGGTGATGGGAGCAGCGGCTGTGGGTTGGAGATGGGGATGCTATGGAGCTGGGCAAGGTGGGGCCGGCGGGACACACTCCGTTAGGAATACAGGCCCTCTAGGAAAAAGCACTGGGGATGCTAGGGTCCGGGCTACTCCCTCCCAAGCAATCTCAGCAGAATGAACTCCCTGGGGCCGGAGGGGCAGATGGTCCTGGGCAGGTCGCAGCCTCGGGAGAGGAGGTGACTTGGAGCTGTGTGGTGTCCGGCAGGACAAGGAGCGCCTGGCGATGAGCTGGCTGGGGCCCTGAGCACTTGGGGGGGCAGTAGCTGCTCCTGGTCCATGCAGATGGGGCTCCCTAGAGATCACCCCTTCTGCTGCATCCCAAGAGGTGGGGGAGCCGTCACTTGCTCTGCGTCCGCATGGCCCTGGAGGGAGGTGGCCCTTTGGCTGAGCTGGGCCGGGACGAGCCTTCGGTCTAAGGGGAGCGTGGGCTCCAGGTATCTCTGTGGGGGGGACGTTAGGGAGAGACTTGCATGGTGCAATCCCCGGCAAAGCCTTTGTCCCGTAGCAGGAGGGTCTTTGTACTCCCCAGAGTGGGGGGCTCCCCTGGAGGCAGAGAAGATCCCCCACCAAGTGCCCAGGGGCTGGGGGGGATTGCAATCAGCAAGCTGGGTGCTCGTTCTCGCCTAGTCTACGCCACCATGCGCAACCTGGCCAAGAAGGAGCGGCTGCTGGAGTGCGTGCGGGGCTGCCACGCCAGCACCCTGGAGATCCTGCAGCTGGATGTCACCGACCCGCTCTCGCTCGCCGCAGCCGCGCAGCAGGTGCAGGAGCAGCGCGTCGACGTGCTGGGTGAGCCGGTCCGGCCAGGCATCTCTGCAAGCCCTGTGCGCCTCGGCCCTGCGCCAGCTTCCTTCACTCCCCCCTGAGCCAGCCCTGGGAAGGGGGCCTAGTTCCCAGCCAGCCCTCTGCATCTCCCTGCCTGCTGGGCATCAAGGCAGATCTGTCACGTGTGACAGGTCCTGGGGGTTCGCACAGCTCAGACCCCACTCGCCAGCTCCTCGAGGGGCTCCCCTGGGCCGAGCCTGCAGAGCCACTGAAGGAAAGGGAGGCCCCCGGAGCAGTGGGGGGAGGGCCAGTGTGTGGCCCCTGCCCCCTGACACATGCGTCTCAGAAGGGGATAATGTCCAGTCCTGCTGCTCCCGCGGTCCCTGGGGTTTGTCATAAAGCCCCAGCACCTGGAGCCCTGTGACTGGGCAAGAATCGTGCTTCTCACTGCGAAAGAGACGGAAGTGTCCAGCCCCGGTGTCGGGGTGGCTGCTGGGATAGGTGAGCCCTAAGGGCTCGGCCCCCAAAGGCCGGTGACCAGAGCCCTGTGCTTCAGATTTCTACGCCAATTTCATGCCGTTTTGGGGGCTGACTCGTTATTTTTTAATGTGTGGGGTTGGTGCTGTGGGGGGCGTGGGCCCCAGGGAGCTCCCTTCCCTGCACCTCTCTAATGGTGGCTCCTTGCTGTGCCCCGCCAGTGTGCAATGCCGGGGTGGGGCTGATGGGCCCCCTGGAGACCTGCTCCTTCCAGGCCATGAAGACCATCTTCGACGTGAACGTGTTTGGGACCATTGGCACCATCCAGGCCTTTCTGCCCGGCATGAAGCGTCGCAAGGCCGGCAAGATCATCATTTCCAGCAGCGTGGGGGCGCTGCAAGGTGAGAGACACATACATCCCCCCACACGTGCACACACTAGGACAGCCACGCCTGTGTTCTGTGATGCTGCCCACACCCCATGGCCTGTGGGTACCCACGTGGCCTTGCAAATCCCTCCTCCTGGGGGTGAAATGCGGGGCCCAGCATAACATCTGAGCTCTTGGGGGCTGCCTGGGAGGAGCTGGCCAGGCTCCCCCTGCCGGTTCTCACCCGTCCCTCCCGCTGTGCCCTAGGGATCCCCTTCAATGCTGTGTACTGCGCCAGCAAGTTTGCAGTGGAAGGTCTGTGTGAGAGCCTGGCTGTGATCCTCCAGCAGTTCAACGTGCAGTGAGTACCGCCGGGAGCTCGCGGTGAACGGGCCTGAGGCCACGCAAAGTGCTTTACGCCTGTCACTAGCACTCGCTGCCCTGCAGACACCTCGGGGGTGGAACGAGGCAGCTGTAGCCTGGTGCTGTTGTGCAGTAGTTTAGGACAGGAAGGGAAGAATAATCCTGCAGCCAATTGACCGTGCAGGGGGCGTTCCAGGCAAGAGGATGGAAGCACCCGAATCGCTGGGGTTCATCCATTCCTGGAGTTTAAGGCAGGAGGGACCGTTAGATTGTCTGGTCTGGCCTCCTGCATGGCACAGGCCAGAGAATTCCCCCCGGTTCCCCCGTTCTGAGCCCAAGAGCTGGGGTCTGACTAAAGCATCGCCCAGAAAGGTGCCAGTCAGGACCTGCAGCCCCCAGGAGACAGAGAAACCACCACTGCCCTGGGGAGCTTGTTCCAGTGGTTAATCACCTGCCTGGTCACAAACTGCGGCCTTATTTCTAACTGGAATTTGTCTGGCTTCGGCTTCCAGACGCTGGTCCCTGTTCTGCCTTTCTCGGCTAGCTTAGGGAGCCCGTTAGCACCAGGTATTTTCTCCCCGGGAAGGTCCGCCCACACTGTGCTAGTCCCCGCTCAGTCGCCGTTCTAGGAAGCTCACCAGCCTGGGCTCGCTCGATCCCTCGCTCTGTGTGGCATCATCTCCAGCCCCGGAATCGCTTCTGTGGCTCTTTCCTGTAGCCTCCCCAGCGTCTCCACACAATGCTCGCCCCAGGCCTGCAGGCAGCGTTCCAGCACCGCTCACGCCGCGGCCGGCTACGGAGGGGAAATCCAGGGGGGCTTGGAGACGTCCAACGTGCCATCACCCTCAGCCCTAGCATGTAACGGTTGTGATCTCCCTGCTCCCTGCTGCTGGGCCTGTGTCACGGAGTCCCTGGGCGATGCTCTGGAACTGCTCCCCACAAAGCCAGTCAGGACTCTGGGGAGCCTCCTCTCCCTCGGAGCAGACTGTCTTCAGGGCAAGAATCTCACACGGCTTCACCTCCTGGGTCTGACCTTGGAGCATTCAGTATATGCCCCTTGTGACGAACTGGGACTGTTCTTGCTGGGGTGTGTGAATGCTGACAGGGGAGTGTGACTAGGATGGTCTGCATCGGGGGATGGGAGCCGGCCCAAGGGAACATACCTGAGCTTGTAACATGAGAACCCAGGAGGGGGTTGGAGGTCAGATGACTCCGGGGCCCGGAAACTGAACAAAGGCTGTGGGAGGGGTCGCTGAGGGCGAGAGTGCTGGAAGCAGGCTGGAAGGAGGCGTGGAGGAGATGGCGTGGGAGGCGAGAGAGTGGC